GGGACCTGGACGGGGACCTCCCGCCCGGGGCAGCGCGGAGGACGGAGCCGTCCGCACGGATCGGTTGGAAAGGTCAATCCCCTGTCACAGGGCTCCTCTCCTTCGCCTGAATTTCCAGCTGGGGGGAGGGGGGAAGAAAAATGGGAGAGGGGGAAGGTGTTCTTGTTGAGTTTTGGGGTTAATCTCGGCAATATTTGCCCGACAGTGAAGCGCCAGCGGCAGCCGCACACGCCAACACCTCCCTCCATGCCCACCCAGCCCGGACTCACCAAGCTCCAGCACCGCATGGACACAGCCGTTTCCTGCTCTGTGTATAGACTGGAAGATATTTATATTATATATATTTTTGTTCAATGGTTGTTAATAGTAGATGTTTAAGTTATAGCCGTTCTGATTTGACAAGCCAAGTACTGTAAATATTCTCGGAGTATATTCACACTGTATAATGTATACAAAAAAAAAAAGGTACAGAAAAAGGTTATAGTTTCTATAGCAATTAAAGAAACAAAAAGAGAAAAAAAAAAAAAGCTTGTATATGGTTAGGATGACTTTTGTATAGTTCTGCACTGTAGTTGTATCTATTGCACTGAAGTTCAGGCTCTGTAGGATATTCAACCGAAAAAAAATACCCCTGAGAAATATTGTCCTTTTCAAACAAAACTGAAAAACACCCAAAAAAAAAAAAATAAAAAGAAAAAGGCATTTCCCTGAGTGCAGCTGGTGTGGGAGCTCCTGGCACATTCCCAAAGCCACAGAGAAAGGTTTTTGTTTTGTTTTTTTTTTTTGGCTTTTTGTAATAGTACTTTTTTTATTTATTTGTCTGCTTTGGAAGTGATGACACTTGACCACACTTGAAGGAGAATAAAGGTTTAGGGGAGGGAGGGAGGAAATAAAGCTGTATCTAACCATGCCCTGTGCTCCCCTGGTCACAGCCTGGCACTGCCAGGGCTCTGTGTGTGTGTGTGGTGTGGTGTGTGACCACCAGTCCCTGAAGTGCCAAGAGGAGGTGTGTGGTGTGCTACAATAAAGGAGAATGTCTGCAGCGACCCAGTGCCTGTGTCCTGTGCCTTTATTCCAGCACAGCTGGGCCTTCCCCTTCCCTCCCTGCCAGCCCGGCCTGGGGGGGTGGGCACTGCGTGTCCCTGCAAAGATTTTCCACCATGGCAACACTGCTCACCTGCTTGCAAAATACCTGCTCTGGGTGTAGGACCGGGTTGGAATAATTGCCTGGAGCAGCCTGGGCTGGGAGCACGGGGAGGGGGATGTGGCTGGAGCCTTCGTGCTCTCTGGACCCCGAGCCTGCCCACCTGGCCTGGGACAGAGCCTGTGCTGGTGCCAGGAGCACCTGAGCCGGGGGAGGAGGGAGGGAGGGAGAGAGGGAGGAAGTTGCTGCTGCATTGGGTTTTTTCCCCTTTTGCTGAGAAGGTGCCAAGAGCTACAAGCCTGAACACTTTCGGGCAAAGAAATGCTGATCTTGGTCACTTCAGGTTTTCTTCTATTTCTTGAAGCAGCTCTTTGCCCTGCGGGGCTCTGGGCACGGCTCTCCTAGGAAATGGCTCTTGCAATGTCTTCTAAAGCTCCCAAACATGTTCTTTCTGTGCTCAGGGCTCCTCTCCTTCCCTGTGCTGTTTCACCTCCCTTCTGGGAGATGCTCAGCCCCACGAGCAACCAAAGAATGTTCTCTCTGTGCCCAGGAGCCTCTCCTTCCCTGTGCTCTCTCATCCCCACTCTGGAAGATGCTCAGCCCCACACAAAGTCCTTTTCCCCCCTGTTTTTTGTGCTGTTGAACCCCCAAGAGCAGCCACACAGCCCTGCAGGCTCAGCCTGGCCACAGAGCACCCGAGGGATTACAGCCACGACCGAGCTCCAAATCCCTGCTGACCCAAATCCTCTGTGCCCTGGGGCACTGTGCCAGCAGGCACAGCTCCCCCTGCACCCCCTACCCAGGGGGGTGGTCGTTCCAGCCCCTCCAGCATGCCCCACCACACATAGGTGCTCGTTCCAGCCGTTGAGAGCCCTGATGCGCTGGGGACACCCTCCAGGATGTCCTGTAGGAGGGCTGGGGGTGTTCCACCCTTTCCCCCAGGCTGGGCTGTGCCCCCCAAACAGCGTTATCCCTCCCCATGGAGTGGAATGCAGCTGACCCCGAGGCTTTCCCCTCCCAGCAGCATCAATCCCTGCTAATTGCTCAGGCCTCGGCTTGACGAAGCGTTTACAAAGCACACTTGACTCCATCCCAACTCGCAGAGGCAATTAAATACACTCATAAATCCTCCTCAAGTAAATGAGAGTTAATCAGAGCTCAGGGCTCAGCTTTGCACACAGGGCAAGTTTCCCTTCGCCCCTGTCCCAGCCGTGAGGGGATCACATGCTCCCCGTCCCCATGGCCCTCCTGGGGCTCCACTGCCCCTTCTGCCACAGCCCTGTGCCTCCACAGCAGGACCACAGCGGCCTCAGGGGCTCCTCTCTGGCTGGGAGTGGGCTCGGGGGGCTGTGGGCATGGTGACACCACAGGCTGCCTCCTCTGGAGGTTGGTGGCAGAGCTAAGGACATGCCAGCTCACTGCCATGAGGAAAACACATCTCCTTGGCATTGGAATCTCTGATTGGAGCCTTTCCGGCCTTTTCCTCAAGACTGCTTAAAGTCCCTCTTGCCTCTCGTGGTCCCTCCTGGATGGAAGTTCTTCCAGAAGTGGAACAAATGAATCTCTCAGTGCCCAGAGCTCCCAGACTCCTTGAAAGCTCTGCAGGAAGACTCTGAGCAACCTGGGCAAATGGAAGGTGTCCCTGCCCAGGGCAGGGGGTGGGACTGGATGGGCTGCAAGCTCCTTCCAACTCAAACCAGTCTGGGATCCCATGAAAATTGGTTTGGAGCTGGAGGGGCTCTGCACAGAGCTTGCAACACCTCGTCAGGCCCAACCAGGTCCCCAGGAGCAGGTGTCCAGCACCACCCCAGACCTTCCCTGTGTCCCTGTTGTATCCCTCTGTGGGATCTCCCATGTCAAACCGGAAGGCAAAGCCAGGAAAGGAGGAACAAACACACCTGAGCAGGTGTTGGCTCTGCACAGCCAACATGAGAGGCTGTTTGCTCAGGCAGAATGCAGTCGATAACCACTTATTCACCGTGTGTTGGTGCTGCTTTTGTTCCTCACCTGTTGCTGTTACTGCCTGACAGGTTCCAGAGATGGAGCAGCACATAGAGATTAACTCAGCCCAAGATGTTTACTTTCCAAAGTGGGGGACAGGCAGGGCCACAGCTGGAAAGAGGCAGCAGCAGGAAGGACGATGGCTGTGACGCTGGTGTTGTCCAGGAGCCTGGATAAGGGAGAGGCTGGGCAAACACCTGGCTCTGGCTAGTTTGTGTGGGAAAACTTGGCATCAATCAGCTCCAACAGGTGACCAATGCTTTCTAGAGGATCTTGCTGGGGCAGCTGCTTGGCCAGGTTGAAGGCTTTCATCCCCACCTCCCGGGCCTGGAATGGGACAGAAACAACATACAGGCACTGTCAGGAATTCGGCTGTTCTCACGGGGTAGTTAATACCTGCCAAGGCTCCGGGGGAGAGGCTGGAGCAGAGCCAGACTCCTTTTCTGAGGTGACCTGTCCAAGCTGCTTTAGAGGAGAGCCTAAAGCTGCCAGCAGTCTCATAGTTAGGATCCAGTGGTGCAGACAGAAGGGATTACTGACCCACCCCCCGTGCTGGAGATCACCTCCTGTCTAATACAGCTCATCTGAGCGTTCCCAAAGCTCTCTCAGGGAAAAAACAGCTGTATGGACTCAGTCTGAGCTAAATCCCTCATTTCCCCAGTAAAGAACTAAATCATTTCCCCTGGTAGCTCTTCCAGGGATTAGACATTCTGACCATTATGAAGCTTTGTCTTTTCTTTGTGTCTCCCACACACTCCCTTCATTGTGGCTTTCCCTGAGACAATGAAGAGACCATTAATATTTCAACACAGTATTTATAACCATCTGTATTGTCACTCCCCAGAACACAGGCAGGGGAAGCTGAGGGGTTTGAGCTCAGAGTCTGGACAGAGAGGCCTGATCTCCACATGGTTTCTGCTCAGCATTTCCCCAACATCAATTCTTGGTAAGGCACAGAAGTTCCCAGTCACTCTGGAAACTTTTAGCCAGAAAAAGACAGAGCTGCAAAGGCAGAACTGATTTCCAGGCTGCAATAGAGTGAACCCTGAACTCAGAGGAGTCTGGCTCAAGGAGAGGCCCATGTGTTGTTGAATAACATCTGACCTGATGGCTAAACACAGCCACACTGCCAGGATAGCCCAGACAAAGGATGAACCCAGAAAATGTGGATGACTGCAGGATCCACTGGTGATGGCAGAAAGCAAAGCAGACATTGAGATTGGTAGCCCTGACAGAGTGCAGGTCACAGAATTATTTGGACTGGAAGGAACCTTAAAGCCCATCCAGTCCCAACCCCCTGCCCTGGGCAAGGACACTCCCACCAGACCAGGATGCTCCAAGCCCCATCCAACCTGGCCTTGAACCTTCACATTAAAAGACTTCTTACTAACACCTAACCTAAATTTCCCCTCTTTCAATTTATTCGTCCTCCTAATCTCTCATCCACGACATTCCCCACAGAGCTCCGAGGCAGTTTTGCCCTTGAGGGCCCAGGAGAGGTGACATGGAGGGGAACAAGTGGCTTCATGATGTGGACTGACCTCCAGAACAGTTGGCCAAACCTCTGGGACTCCCTCAGACACAACTTACCTTTGCTAGATCGTGGCCCAGGTAATGAAGCATGGCCAGGGCGTGCAGGACTTGGGCTGTGTCCCCGGGGAGCGGTGCTGGGGCCTGTTCCATCACCTCCAACACTGCCTGCAGCACTCGTGTCGCTTCTGCTCGCTGCGCTCCAGCTGCAGGAGGGGAGAGTCAGATGGGGGGATGGATGGGATGGATGGATGGATGAGTGGATGGATGGATGGATGGATGGATGGATGGGTGGGTACCAGAGAATGGACTCAAAACTGCACAACTAGCTCTTCTAGACATTAAGGAAAGCATTTCTACTCCAAGTATCAATGCAGTGTGAGGTGCTGAGGCACTGGCACAGGTTGTCCAGAGCAGCTGTGGCTGCTCCATCCCTGGAAGTGTTCCAGGCCAGGTTGGATGGGCCTTGGAGCAACCTGGGCTAGTGGAAAGTGTCCCTGCCCATGGAGGGGGTGGAATAATACAATCTTTAAGGTCCCTTCCCACCCAGACCAGTCTGGGATACTACGATCCCAGCTCCATGCAAATTCCATGCATGTAAACAGTTCTCTTTTCAACCAGTCAGTGACTGTGTGGATCAGCCTTTAGTGAGGAGGTGGAGTCACAACATCTGCATGAAAACAACAACTTTCCAACTCTTGTCACACCCAGGGCCGTCTCCTGTGCCCTGCCTTGGTGTGGTTTCTGCTGCAGGAACCCCCCAGGGAGACAGTGCAGGGACATAGAATTTACAGAGATTCTCTTAGAATCATGGAATCCTGGACTGGTTTGGCTTGGAAGGACCTTAAAACTCATCCAGTTCCACCCCCTGCCATGGGCAGGGACACATTCCACCAGCCCAGGTTGCTTCCATCCAACCTGGCCGGGAACACTTCCAGGGATAGAAATTGATATTTCCTTCCCTGACAATATCCTTATTAGCACAGATGGTAGAAAGCAGCCAAGGACAGTCTGGTCTGGTCACAGTGGAGCTTGGGGCAGTGCCACACACACTAATGCTTTATGCACCTGTGCCCCACTGAGAGACTTCCCAGCCTCTTTCCCAAGGTATTCTCCTGCTTGATCCATCCAATTATCAGCACACACTATTCCATCATGTCCTACTGCTCCAGGGGAGAGCTGTAACCCTGTAATCACCTCACCTGAGTGAGGGCAAATGTCCCTTTCGTCATTAAAGGGAGATAAAGGATCTGCAGAGGAACAGGAATGCTGGAGTCTCAAGTTGTGGCAAGGAGGTTAAATTTGGATACAAGGAAAAGTTTTTCATGGAAAAGCTCGGAAAGCATTGGCATAGGCTGCCCAGGGAGGCAGTGGAATCACCAAGCCTGGAAGTGTTCAAGAACCATGTGGATGTGGCACCTGGGGACATGGATTAGTAGTGCTGGTTGACGACTGGACCCAGTGAGCTTAAAGCTCTTCTCCAACCCTAACAATTCCGTAAGACTGTGATTCTATGAAGTGGAATCAAATCCTGAAAGGCAAAATCTTGCCCCAGCCACTGCCAAGGGCACTGTGAAATGGAGCATGCAAACAGAAAGGGCCCTATGGAACACCCTAATTCCTCAAGCACCAGCACCACAACCGTTTGCCATTCCCATTTAAACCTGGGCTCTGGCAATGCCACGCCAACCCCAGTGCTGTCAGCATCCCCATGGAGGGTATGGATCCCTTCAAATCCTCTTTCCAAAGGGTCCTGTGCAGGAGTGGTGCTCACTCATCTCTTCCTCGATGCCTTCCTCCTCCTCCTCCTCGGTGAAGGGCGACGCTTCCCGCAGGGCCCTGAGCGCTCTCTCCCGCGCCTGCAGGGCGCCCAGCAGCCAGGCATGCCAGCTGGCTGTCACCTGCCAGCAAGCACAGGAATTATTTCACTTGTGTGGACACCTGGTATTCCCTTGTTCTCCAAACAATGTCCCCAGTGCATGCCTGCAGGGCAGCGAGGTGCTGCTGCCAGGGGATGTGCCAGGGAGGGACCTCTCCGCTCTGCTCCCAGCTGGGACATCACTGCTCTAGCTCTGCTCACTCACACCACACCTCAATAGAGCTGAGCAAATTATCAACCAGGAGCAAGTTGGGTTGAAGTTTGGGAGGCGAATGGTGGTGGATTTTGCAGTTCCTGAAGCTTTGCTTCCACAAAAATTGGTTTAAATGCATTAAAGCTCATTTATTTAATAATATCTCATTTAAGTTATTAAAGCAATTAGGTAATTAGTCCTTCCTTTGCTTGATCAATCCTTTCTGAGAATTCTTTATCATTCATTCCCAGTGTAAACTGTAGGTGGTTTGTGTGTATCCCACTGCTTACACACTCCTCCCTGGCTTTGGAGCTCCTCAGAGACTCTTTGGCACAGGAATTGGGGAACAAAGCTGCTGTTTAACGAGGTTTGGCTGCCCACACTGAAGACAATTTGATTAACAATTGTGAGCTGAGCACAGGATTAACGTCTCCTGGGTTTAACTCACCGAATTAGTTAGGTATGTAAAGAGTTTCTGAGATTAAGGCCCCACTGAACCTTGATATTCATTCCCACCATGTCATCAGAAATGGGGAAAACAGTGGAAGGAGCACCAGAAATCCCTAGGGAATACAGAGAGGATGAGCTTTGCTTCCACCAACCTCAGCGTAGAGGGAGTTGGCAATGTCCAGTTTGTTCTGCTGGGAGAAAATGTTGGCCATGTGGAAATACCCTTTGGAGACCTCCAGAGATTTCAGTCCAAAGACAGAGGCAGAAAGATAAACCTGGAATCAACAGCCAAATCCCAGAGGTTTAGTGCTCATGGCAAACCTGGGAAGTTTGTCATTATGGAGCAATAACATTGCAAACATTCAGGTCTTGTTATGTGCAAGTGTTGGTTCTACCGGATGGGGATTGGAAAATGAGGGACTAGAAAGCTGTAGGTTGGGGTTTATGTCCATGAATGAGGTGTAAAGACTGTATTTTGAGGGTTGTACAAAGGAATGAGGAACTAAAAAGCTGTAGTTTGGGGTTTATCCATAGAAATGAGGTACTAAAAAGCTGTAGTTTGGTGTTTATCCATAGGAATGAGGCACTAAAAAGCTGTAGTTTGGGTTTATCCATAGGAATGAGGTACTAAGAAGTGTATTTGGAGGGTTATCCATAGGAATGAGGCACTAAAAAGCTGTATTTTGGGGTTTATCCATAGGAATGAGGTACTAA